TCTAGAAGAGGCCCCAATAACCAAGAAAACTAGATAATGGGTATACTTAGATACCATGTATTCTTGCTTGCATCTATAACTTTATTATGATACATATATATGAGAAAATAAAGTATTTGTTGTTTTGGGATACTACCATGAGTCTCCTATGATGGCACCACCTCAATATGCAACTCCACCACTCAAGGGAAGTGGCTTTTTGTAAGGATGATTAGTGATCCAGTGTTCATGACTTCTTCGTTTCTGTTTTTAAAGATTTATTATAATACTCTATAACCAAAAAGCTTTTGTTTCTATGCTTCCCTAGTCGTTTTTATCCTATAAAGAAGAATAGCTAGGGTTTATATTTGAGCCATTGGGCTTCCTAGCCGTCGCCCCTTGTGTTAGTTGATTAGGGTTAAGAATCACTTAAGAAGTAACCCTTAGGGCTAGGGTTTAGAGCCCTATATAAGTACGTAACTTTCATCTTTTTAGGAGTAAGATCTATGTACAATTATAGGAACCCCCTTGTAGCATTTCGAGTAATCTCCCTCGATCAATCTATAGAATTCCTCTATCATTCACCATGCGCGCCAGCTTTGCACGCCAACGTTTGGTGGGTTCACTATGCACACCAGCGTTTGCTTGATGCCTATCCGGTGAGTTGGGACAAAAGATGTATTAGTACGGCTCGTGAATGGGGTGATCAGTTCATGCAACTTGTATTTATTATAAATTTAGAGTGATCATTAACTTATCTTTTACTCCAAGAGACCCATTTGTTCGTGGATTCTGGTGGGATACAGCCTGGTGCTATGCTTCTTCATATATAATGATAGTGTGTCCATCATGAAGTACCTACCAGATATATTATTATTGTTTTTGTAACCAATGATAGAGACAGACAATCAATCATCAGTCACTTTAGAAGTTGATAGATTCTATTGTATTAGATTCTTGCTTTCACCATCACTTTAAAAATAACCTTAGCCTCTGTCTCGATAGTCGTCACCTCTGCCCTTCATCCGTCGATGTCTTCATGCTCTCACCCATTGCTTTCACCATCACCTCCGCCCTTTGTTTGTTGTTGTTGAAGACTCAATGACACATTGTCACTTGTGAGCCTTCTCCTTGAGGGAGTTGAAGACATAAGAACGATCGATGGGATTTGAGAGGTCTTTAAGACGATGATGATCAAAATCGACTGTCGCTAAGCAAATAGAGAAGGTCATCTACGCTAAGCACCAAGGCAAGTCATGGTGATGGTCATGGACGATGATGATCAGGATCGACGGATGTTGAGCCCACCAAGGCACCAAGCATCAAAGCAGGTTATGGCAACGACTGCAAAGGTCAATAGCCGTTGTAATAACGATGGGAGGAACGTCGAGTAATCGATGATGTGCTCGAACTAGGGTTTTTTAAGTGAGGAGCTTATTGTCCATGACACAATAGGCAATGATGAAGGCCTTGTAAGTACTCTCATGAAGCTTCACATCAAGAGTGAGATACTACAACAACAATCACTAGGGGCCTTCATCTTGTCGGCCACCGTGAATGCCAACAATCACTACAACAACAATGATGGGATGAATGTCAATTGCTCAAATATGCATTCGAACTAGGGGCTATAGGTGAGGGACTTGCTACTAATGATGCAATATGCAATGACGAAGATCTTGTAAGTGCTCTTATAGAGCTTTGCAGTGAAGATCTATTGGACTTCCTTTAAGAGTTGTACGAACCATTTCTCTCTCTCTCTCTCTCTCTCTCTCTCTCTGTGTGTGAAGAGACACGTTGAGTCGTACGAATCATTTCTCTTTCTCTCTCTCTGACACGTTATTATCGATGGAACGACAGTGCAATAGATGAGGATAGAGTTGGTGTCTCTCTCTCTGTGAAGAGACATTATTATCGACGGAACGAGAGTGCAGTAGATGAGGATAGAGGAGGTGAACGAGAACACAACGACAACGATGAACAAAAGACGAAAGCAACAAGACCAAAGATAATTTTATCTTTAAAAAATAAAATATATTATAAAATAGATTTTATATATATATATATATATATATATATTTGTGTGTGTGTGTGTTTGTTTTCCAACATGAACATGAAAGAATAATCAGAAGATAGAGTAAATAAAAATGGATAAATGTTTTTACAGATTTTCTTTTGGTAAGCAACTGATTATTCGATCCGTAAAACATCGTCCCCATAGAACATCAATTACTCTGCCGCCATTGAAATATGTGTAACGCATCAATGTGTTTACACATTGATGCGTTACACATCAATGTGTAAAACATCTTCACGACCACTGTGTTTACACATCAATGTGTTTGGGACGCGAAACCAGCATTGTTAAAATATGTTTAACGCCTCAACTTGGCTAAGTAGCACATATTATTTGCTCAATCATCTCCCAACGATTCATATACGAAAAACATTTCCAAATGGATCAAACGATTGAGGATTTCAATGGCCATATACATCTTTTTCTTAGTCTAGCAATGGAATTCCATGAGTTTAATTTTGAACTCTCTCATACATCTTTATTTTGCCTACCCTAAACCCCCCAAAGGTAGTGATAATTTCAAACCGATACAAACATTTATTTATGCCATAGAGAATCCTTATGATGCTAAGAAACAACGATCAGAATAGCAATGTTACCATAATTATCTAACAATTCAACTACATTTTGGGTTGAAACACAGTCCAAATACAACTTTTGGGATTTAAGCTTTCGTAATTCCTTCTCTACTAGTTGAATGTGAGAGATTCCCTTGAGATGTGCCCCCTTTGACATGAACCTTGCCTTTTCATGATGGGTTCCCCAAAGACCTTCTAGCTTAGGAGTGGTTTTCACCCTTTTATCCTACTTCTCCAACCCTTCAATTAATATATACCAATGGGAGACCAAACATGAAACTATCATGTAAAAGGAGATGGTCAGAATCACTCACTGATAACAGTGCATCACACCTTCGCATGCTTTCAATTTCTATTTCTGTCTGTATCACCCATTGTGGCTCTCAATCTCCAGTGATCAACCTTTTTAATACACATATGCTACCAATAGATAAATAAATACTGTGTGCCAAATCCTCATATTACTATCACTCCTCAATTCCAAAGCATATCCTTTTTATTTCTCACCATGAACATGATCATATGCAACTTTAAAGCCAGGACATCAGGATCATATAGCTTGGCCAATCCAAGACAAAAACCAGCACTATATATGGTGGTAACCCCTCCTACTCCTAAACAAGCCCTTGTTGTTACTTACTATCTCAAGCAATCTATGTTAGACATTCATTATTTTCTGGTGAGGCTAATGTTCTTATTAGCAATCAAGTCCTAATAACATGCAGTGATGATGGTTTAGGTTCTAACCTAAACCAATGTTCTCAAGCCAAATTCAAACCTAAAGCTACATGAATCCGATTTCAGGTTCGGATTTAACGGAACCTCATCCCGCCCAACTTGTTTTCAGTTTCTCATAAAGTAAACAAATCATTAGAATTGTTTGGCTTATTTCTTTGCTCAATTTATTCTCTCTTTCTTTCTTTTTTCCCAATTCTTCCCTAGTTCTCAACAAACAATTCCAGCTCCTGGCCGTTTCCATTACAAATAACAATGTCTTTTATGGACATCCTAAATCATGTGAATTGTATGATGCTAGAACATGGTTTAGCAATTCCTAACAGGACCTCAAAAAAAGAATGATATCTGTAAAGAGCATTTGCAGATTTAAAGTCCTAAGCAAAATGACAACATTTCGGACAAATGAAGATGATCACAAACACATAAAAGCTAAATTTGACAACCATTTAATCGTCAGATGTTCTTTTCCCCCAAACTTTTTCAGATCAGGAATACCAACCGAATGATAAAGAACAAGACGTGCATCATCAGTCCCTATAAGTTCTGAACCATCAGAATAAGCCGGACACAACAAACATCAAGTTCAGAAATCTAGAATCACTAATCTATGTACTGAAATGGTCTTGTAGTTTTCTTTCAACGGATCGCTTGCAAAGATGCAATTGTAGGCAAACACGATTGATTTAAACCAACAACGACGTCCATAGATCAGCCAAATAAAATGAAGATTGTCAGATGAACGAAAACGAGAATCTAAAACATATACTGATTTCAACAAGCATTGGCACGGAACCGTCCCACATTAATGGAAAGCAGACGCATTGCGAGAACTAGATAGATGCTACCTTAGCTTAGAACCTGAGCTTGGTGAAGAACCACCGGTTCTTGCCGGTCTTGAAGCGCTCCTCCAAGCGGGCCTTGGTCTCCTTGCATGCGGTGACCTTCTTGTCGCGGGACTGCAGCGCGTCGAGGGTGGCGACGTCCTTGAGATCGACATCGAGCGTGTAACGGGTGGGCATGATGTGGCTGTAGTTCACCAGCTTCAGAAAGGCCTTCACGCGAGACTTCTTAGCCGTCTTCTTCGCCGAATCCTTGCGGATGACCTTCTTCGGGTACTTGGCGATGCCGGCCACCAGGCAATGGCCGTAGGGCCGCTCCCGCGTGCCGTCGTCGAAGGCCCGCACGATGACCGCCTTCCGCCCCGCGAAACGGCCTTGCAGGACGATCACCGCTTTGTTCGGTTTCAGGAACTTCACCATTTCTCCTCCTCCTCCCCCACTCCGATCACCTCGCCGCCTCTCAAGCTCAAAGGACGAATCCCACAAGAGGGGAGTTTATATAGGAGTTCGATTAGGGTTTGCGGCCGTGTATAATGAATGGGTCAACATTGAGTCACCAATTATGCGAAATGGGCCTCAATATGGGCCGGGCTTTTAATAGCGTAGCATTATATTTCTTTATATATTAAATTAGGGACAAATAAGTAAAGCCCCTTTATGCGCACACATATATAAATATAATATTTATTATATATATATATATATATATAATCTCTATTCCACGGAACAAAGTCACCCTGTCGTGTACCTGCACACCCTGGCTTCTTTGTAGACAAGCCCGGGCCTACACAGGTACCCTTTACTCGGACTGCAGTGCTCGTCCTCTGCGCAAATGCACTGTCCTTCCAGTGCGCAGCCGTTACCTGTGTTCGATCCCTGCCCCGAGACCACTTCATCCCACCATGGGCTCTGAAACATGCCTCCGGGATCCGATTGGTTCTTGGCCGCCAGAAAATTGCTGAAACCAGGGTACTTTCGGTGCACACCAAGGAAGGCAACCCTTCGATTCTTCGCCCAGTGCGGCCTGGCTCCGTGCTTCATGAACGCCATCTGCTCCACCTCCTCCCAGACGTCCTGGTTCAGCCTGGGAGTGGACGGGTCATCGGCTCTGTAGTAGTTGAAATCCAGGACGATAGAGTCCTCGGGCTGGCCGAGGAGCGCGTCCGATTTTTTGATGAAGCGTATCAGAAACCCGTTGTAGTTGTCGACGCCGCAGAAGTTCTCCGGTTTCAGATCCCTGAGCTGCTTCACGTCGTGGATGAAGTCCATGAACTTGGGAGGAGAGAAGATTGCCGTGGTCTCGTAGAAGAACAACCCTTTGCCTCGAGGATCCCAAGGGCACGTTCTCAAGCTGTCCGCTTCCGGTGAGTGTTGGCAGGAGCCGGAGGTCTGCATCTTTCCCTGGCGGCCCACCACCGGGTAGCCTGTGAAGATCCCGTTGTTCTTCAAGCCATTTCCCGCCAACCTTCTATACTCCAGCTCGGCGGCTGCGGTGACGCACTTCCCCCTTCTGTTTCTTGATTCGTCGTAACGCTTCTCTGCATCACAGAAGAATCTGGTGAGCGACCGCAGCGCCCTTGGAGCAAGCGCACGAGAAATTTGGCGATAGTTCACGCGGTACCAGTAGCTCGTATTGCGGCGCAGACCGCCATGAGGTTTGGTTGGAAACCGATGAAGTCATTGATGCCGTCGCCGGAGGCGTTCGAGGGGACTCGATCGTCGAATCTGAATGCAACTGTGTGCTGCGATGGAAACCAGGTGAGGTCAGGGAATTCGTGCTTGCGAGCAACATCCAACAGGCGATCTTGGAAGCTGGCGTCGTCGTGGAATGAGTACGTGATGCTTCTCTTGAAGCTGGGTTCGAGTGACAGTGTCACCTGTAGATCCAAGTCGAGAAATCTGATCGCCATGTTTACAGCAGAGCATGATAGAAACATGAGAGGATGGAATCGATGTCACGTAACACCTTCATGCTCTTCCGACTCTTTGAAGCGAAGGAGACAGAGGGCAGTGGTGGAGGATTGCACTGACCTGAGATATGATCCCCAGAAGCCCCAGGGAGACGCTTGCGGCATTGAAGAGCGGGTCTCCCCGGAGCAACCTGACGACCTTCGCGTACCCTTCCGACTCACCGGCCGGGATCACCATGCTCAGGCTCACGACATGGTCGTGGACGGCTCCTCCCTTGCCCCACCAGGAGCTGCCATGCGACCCCGTGCTGATGATCCCGCCGACGCTGACCCCCTCCCAGTACGTTGAGGCGACCAGGCTCAGCCCGGCCGCCTCCACCTTATCAATCAGATCCCGCAGCCCCACGCCGGAATCAGCCGTCACCGTGCGGCCAGCCACGTCCACCTCTATCCGCGTGTTGTACTTCGCGGTGCTTATCAGAACCGAGTTCTCCGGCGGGGGGCAGGCCAGCTTCGGGATTGCGTGCGAGAATCCGCTCACCACCTTCGCCTTGAGGTTGTTCCGGTTGGCCTCGGCCACGGCCGACCGCAGCGCCTCCTCGTTCGTGGGGTAGACGACGCTGCGGACCCAGCATTCGCTTCTGTCTCCCCAGGCGCCGTAGGCGTTGGAGAGGACGCAGCCCGTGACGTTGCAGCGAACGGGCGGAGCCGGTGGCTTGGCGGAGGTGAAGTATGGATTCGACCCGATGACGACGAGCAGCAGCAGAAGAAGAAGCGCCCGAATTGGGGAAGCCATGTCGATGCCTGGTTGACCGCAGTCCTGTCCCTTGTCTTACTTATACATGCACGTGGAGTGGCACAAATCTTTAAGAAGCAACGTGGAAGGTCCCTTATGGCTCAACAACGCACTGTGGGCGTTCATGTGCTATTTAATGTTGATGTGCTTTATTCACTGGAGCCTATGATGAGGAGAGCAATATATTATCATATCTTGTACAAGCAATATATATATCATATATATATACACACACACTTATACTTTTGCCCCTTTTGACTTGAATCATTCATCTATTTAATAAAAAAAAAATCATTTTTAATTAGTAAGGAGCACAACTTGTACCATAAAAATATATATATATATATATATATATATATATATATATATATATATCCAGAAAATGATAATATTTAATAGAATTTTGATTTTTTTTTCCTGTCTTTTTTTCAAAAGAGATATTTTATGTTTTTGTTTCTTTTGTAAGGAGATATTAGGATTGAGATTTGTAGATATGGGTTGCAATTATCTTTAGAAAATAGTTGATAAATTATAATTCAATATCAATCCTTTTTTGAAGTTTTTTTTTCTTCTTCTTGATCAAAAAAATTACTTAAGATTTTTTTTTTCTTGTTAAGATTATTTTGAAAACTATTTTTCAAAAAAATATCATTGAATGGGAAGATAGTGAGAAGGCCAAAAAAATCATTGTTATAGCAGTAATTCTTCTATCTTACCTTTCCTTGTATGCATCTTTGAAAGATAAATAAATACCTTAGTGTTTAAAGAATGAATTCCTTTCTCACTCTACATTAGAAAATAGCTTACTCTCCTAACATCTCTCTCTCCTTTCTTGATTAAGCTTTAAATGGGAATCAATGAAGAGGTTATGATATTTCCAACAAAAAAGGACAGCATGATCATGAATGAAAGCAAAACATGTTTGTATAACCATAGAGGCCATAATGAGAAGGCTTTGAAGTTGGTGATAGACATGTGCTTCATACATGTTCTTATGTGAGCCACATGGTGCATAGTAATTTGTTCCTTGTCCATATTGATCACCTTTTGAGGAAGAACAAATTTATTTAGTGTGATGATGAATAATTTAAAAGGCTTGAGAATCTATTTCAACTCATCCAGAATGTCTTGCTGATTCTTGAAGTGTCCATGGTAGAAGAGAGAGAGAGAGAGAGAGAGAGATAGTCAATAACCATCTACTACTTAGTTTGGAACAGTAAAAGAACATTTACAAATAATTTAAGTGTATAAAAATATTCATAAATTTGATATCGAAAAACTAACTCAATATATAATAAATCTACAATGAGATTAAATTTGATCATCTTTTAATAACATGTAAAATAAAAGTGTTGTTGAGATAAATAGGTATGTTTGATTTATATTTAGTAAATATTTTTTTTATTTCAATATGAAATCTATTCATCTAATAAATTAAATCTTTTAGTTTTTCTACACGATAAATTTATTTATTTTATTTTATTTTTATTTTTTCATTAAGAATAACAGATAATGTTTCGAATCCTTAATATTTGATAAGTGGGTATGATATATATATTATCATCGTATCAATATTTAATGTGTAAAATAAATATAAAAATAAATTTAGTAACTCGTATAATATGTATTGGAAAAAGAGATATAATCGCGAGACTCTTGTTTTAGAATTTAAAAAATATCCGATCTTATTTTTATTTATAAATAGTAAAAAATTATTTTTCAAAAAATCGCTTACAGCGTAAGAGAATAATCTTATCGTTGTTTCAATATTTGTGCTCATCATATGTAGCTAATTTTACTTCACACTCTGTATGAGGAACAAACAGTTGTAACACAACTGAATGAAACTTCATCGATCGGAATAAACTCCTCTGAATTAAATTGTGTTGTGGAAATGCATGTCCTTTTGATAGCTACTGGCAGCTTTAGCATTTATACCATTGGGACCAAAGAGATGGCACCGCCTGAATCCTGAGACAAAAGGGAAGAATGACAAAACAGAGGAAGATTCTGAGGTTGATTCATCCTCTCTCTCTCTCTCTCTCTCTCTCTCTCTCTCTACACATCATCTTTATCTGTGTATGACATCCATCCCTTCTTTCTGTGTTGTTTATAGCAAGTCAATGCCTTCATAATGACAGAAATTATTTGCAGATGCTGTAGCCCACAGTGTGACATCCAAAGAATGATGGATGAATGCCATCCATTTGGATCTCTTCATCTCACTGTTTGTTTGGTTGTTCGAGCATAAATGAACACAGAATCGACAAATGTGCATTTATTCGATCACTGTTTGAGAATGAAACCAAATTTGCTTCTCCACTGAATTTATTTTGGTAGCTAATGTCCTCTTAGATGATACGACCACGACAAGACTATGGAATTATTGATATCCTTCTTCCATTTAATATTTGGTTCTTTGATCCACTGAGTCTTCTAATTTCTTCTTCCATCACTTAGCATACATCATAATATTGATAATTCAAATTATTAATTTCTTTTATCATTAAAATCATATAATAAAATATATATGATTAAATTGAGCTACAGCAATACAAGTCGAATGGCTTTTATGATCTGATTTGACGTAACTATTGTTAATCGTGCTTTGAATTTTCTGAAAATAATGACAACTCATAAGCTTCATTATTTCAAAATCAGAATTAGCGGCGATCTTTTAATTATTTTGTGGAGAAAACTTCATACTTATTCAGATTTATTAGCCAATAATAAATTCCTTCCATATCCCATCTTTTGAACTCCCCGTTAATGTCCAAAATCTTCTCCCTCTTTAGAACAGATCCCCATCGTCTATTCTTCACATCACATCCCACCGTCAGATCTTCCTTCCCGGCCCATAGTGCGGCCCAATCAGCCCATCGTCTCTACGCACGAAATGTGATGCATCAATCTCGCACCGCACGGCTTTTAAAGAACTGTCAAATACTCTTATATATATATATATATATATATATATATATATAGAGAGAGAGAGAGAGAGAGAGAGAGCTGTTGCTGCCTCGCTTCCCCGCCCTTCGACCGGACCTTTCCAGCATCCAAAGAGAGACCACGCGGTCTAACTTCTCCGCCTACCGCGGCTCCTCGGCGGATACTCGTGATACCGGGAAGGGTAAAAATGTAGAATGAATTTCAAAAGAACATCGATAGAATAATTGTTCAGATAGAAAATGTCATAGAAGGCAAGGAACGAATTCTTGAAGAAACTTTGGTAAAAAACAAAAAAATAGCTCACCACTAAGTTTAAAATCAAAAGGGATACAGAAAGATCATCACCCTAATGATAATAAATAAGGATACATAACTGAAAGCAAAAGACTCACCACTCAATGACACATCCAAGAGATATAGAGTTTAAAAGAGCACTCCAAGAGAGCTTCTGCCAATATCCTTAGTTTTCTAAAGTCCTTTCTAAGCCTCAAACACCAAAATAAATACTAGTGCATGAAACAACCCTTCATGCATAGGAAATTTCGAAATTAAGTGCTTTACAACTGCCAACCAATTCCATTAATGTATTCCTTAACCACGAAGAAAAGTACAATGATACAGCTTTACCTTTGTGTAGGGAATATGCTGATGAGCTATCTTATCTAAGTAGGCTGAGTTGAAGATTATGATGCAATATTATTGGCTGAAAAAATATCATATTATCAACATGGTCCATATCAACAGATTGTAGTAAATTAGACACTCCTGTGTCAATCTCCCCTGGTTGAAAAAGACTTGTCCTCGAGTCTTTGTTTGTTTCGTCAACATGACTATAAAAAGGACTTAAATCAGCTACATTAAATGTTCGGGATGCTCCATAATATTTAGGTAGCTCAATCTCATAAGCATTTTTACCAATTCTCTTAAGGATCTTGAATGGACCATCAGCCTTTGGTTTCAATTTTCCAAATTTGTCCGGTGGAAACCTCTCCTTCCTTAGATGAATCCAGACCAAATCACCTGCATTAAACTCTATATGTTTTTTGTGTTTGTTAGCAGCTTGCATGTACCTCTCATTTTGTTTCTCAATGGTTGCTTTCACACCCTCATACAGCTTCTTTATCTACTTTGCTCTTTCATCAGTATCTCCACTAAATTGCTTTGTTGTAGAATGAGGGATTAAGTCCAAAGGACCAGTAGGATTAGTACCATAAACTACCTTAAAAGGACTCTTACCAATACTATGATGTATAGAACGATTGTAGGCAAACTCAATTTGTGGAAGAATGACATTCCACTGCTTAATATTCTTGCCAATATAACTTCTAAGTAAATTTCCCAAGCTTTTGTTTGTTACCTCAGTTTACCCATCGGTTTGTGGATGATGCGAGCTACAGAAATTCAAAGAAGTACCCAACTTCCTCCAAAGATTTCTCCAAAAAATGACTAACAAATTTTGAATCTCGATCAGACCATAGTTCTTGGAATACCATGCAATTTAACGATCTTCTTAAAATATAAATCAGCAATATGAGATGCATTTTTTGATTTATTGCATAGAATAAAGTGAGACATTTTTGAAAATCCGTCAACAACAACCATGATAGAATCCTTGTTCCTTTAAGTCTTGGGCAGTCCCAAAACGAAATCAAGACTCACATCCTCCCACGGAGCATTTGGCACTGGCAATGGGGTGTACAAACCAGAATTTTGACTTCTTGTTTTTGCCAAATGACACAATCGGCATTGCTTCACATGTCTATCCACATCTCTGAATATTTTAGGCCAGTAGAAATTTGATTGAACAAGAGCTAGAGTCTTGTCCCTACCGAAATATCCTCTCAAAACACCATCATGAAACAGTTTCAGCTAGAATTACCTATCTCAAATAATAAGATGGAACACACAAAGCATTAGCTCGAAAAAGAAAACCATCAAAGATAAAAAAAATTATTGAAAGGAACCTGATTTACAATTCTGCCATATTGAACCGAAATCAACTTCATTCTCATAGAGATCTTTGACCGTTTCAAATCTAACCACTTTGACTTCCATTGTTGATAATAAAGAATGCTTTATGCTCAATGCATCAGCAACTATATTTTGAATACCAGATTTGTGCTTGATTGTAAAGTTGTAAGATTGTAAAAACTCTACCCAAACTGCATGCTTATTGTTTAGCTTGTGTTGGTGATTAATGAACTTTAATGTCTCATGATCAGAATATAGAATAAATGACTTGGCAAGAAGATATTGACTCCAATGAGATAAAGCTCGATAAATTATATAAAGCTCCTTATCATAAGTAGAGTATTTCTTTCTCGTATAATTCAACTTTTCATAAAAAAATGTAATGGGCTTTTCGTCTTTACTCAAAACAGCACCAATTCCCACATTCAACTTCAAATCAGATAAAAAAGTTCAAGAGGAGCTGGTTGAAAAGGAAGGTCAAGTCGAAAGCTCTCTCTCTCTTCCATGATTTGTGATAGTGATCAGAGACCAAAAGATCCAAATATTCAGCTGACACAAAAGGCCAAGGGTGTCTCCAGGAACACAGGCCTAAATGTGTGATGAGCAAGACACAATGATTCTGACGTCCCGAAATGCTGGTACATCAGCATCTTGTCGCAACCAGCATGTACCAGAGGTCTATGCAGAGCAAGAAAGTTATGTGCTGATGAAGTTCAGAGACTATCTCTGTAAGATTGTCACTTACCTAAGATTGAAAGGTAAACCAAACTTCATTTTTATTGATAGTATAAATGCCTCTTCAAGTTAAACCACTGCCGATGATTGTTTTGTGACTCACCTCAAGGACGAGCTTTAGATGATTTTTTTGTTTTTTTCATGCTTCTCATTTGTCTGTCTTTTCCCTTCTCTTCTTGGTTTCTTTTTCGTAATGCAAGATAGAGTTCATACTGTTTCACTTGCTATTTTCCATCATTCATCGTTTGGTTGTGTACTCGGGTTTATTTTCTGGTCGTAAATAGAGTTTTCTGAAGTTTCCAAACCATATGAGCCTAAGAAATTGTTTCTAAGAATCCAAAGAATTGTTGTATCACATTTCATTCGAGGTATACCGTACTTCACATGTTCTGAAACTGGTACTTGTGACATGTTATTGCTAGAGCTCCATGGCCGGGAAATCCGAAGCATCTGATCTCCAGGGAAGATCTATGAATGATATTGCTAGAGCTCCAACGACACTTGATGCAGAGCCAGTTCCTGCTGATTCCGACAAGCAACAACCGGCAGGATGGTTGTGGTGCGTGTTGTTAGTTAATGTTTTTATGCGATCATATACCAATTCTTTTCGCAGTCGATGGAATCAGCTCTTTCATACATCAAATCAAGAACTTGAATCTTGAATCCTCAGCTCTCTTCTTTTTCTTTTTTTTTGAGATGGAAAGCTCTGGCAAATGCTTCTCTCCAGTTTTACCCAATTTTACCCTTTAAGAAAAAAAATTGCTTGAGATGTGATCAGGATTATGATATCATGCTGGCAATGACCAAAGACCTAAAAATAAGAACCAAGATTTTGTTGGAGACTTGATCTTGACTTTTGTTGATATGACATGATCACAGGAGTTAGTACATCAGCTGAAACTTCCATACGCAGCTACATCAAAATAAAACCAACAAGCTGAATGACAGAATGGTTGAAGGTGAATAAAAATAGACAATCTGTAAAAGTTATGCCACACACACACACACACACACACACACATGGTACAAGTAGGGACATCAAGCAAGGGGTTCGTTCTCTGGTTTCATGGGGTAAGAATCTTTCAAGATTTGCTGCATCGCATAAGGTCATCTTCTAGGAGAGAAACACTTCCTAAGCTATGGTTCACTGTGTGGTGCATATAGATGACAAGTTCTTGTCATCTGGTTGCGATGATATCTGCCATGACTTTGAGCAGCTTTAATCAGCACTTGGACAATTGTCATCACCATCCACCAAAATCCAACAACAGCACTTGAAGTTATATTCATGAATCTCCAATTCTATAGAACTAAATACATTTGTCTTGATGTCCCCATATCATCCATTTCATCATTCCCTTTGCTCATAAGATTTCTTAGTGGCGAGCTGTTGGACTTCTCAGGCCTCCCAAGTTCTCTATTTTCTCTAAAAATTTCTTGTTGGTCACAAGGTTAGGGAGCTTTCTCATCCACTTTCCTTCATCCTCCGAGGTGCCCTTCTCCTTCTTCGTATCGGTATTCTGATCCATTTGCCAACCCATGAAATCTTGTAGTGTCATCAAATTGTTTGCTTCTATTTTGTTAAGCTTCTCGATCTCTTCCTTGGGATCAAGGGGCTTAATTGGCTCTGAATCTGTCAGTGAAGGTCTTCTCCTTGAGCTGCCACCTGTTGCATCTTGGGATACAGAATCAGCATAGAGAACATCTTCAATACGAGACATCACGGTGAAAGCTAAGCTTTCTATAACCCTCGAGTAGCTTTCCAGTATGGAATGCCCTACATCCTGCATAAGCCATATAAGAATAATCAACGTTGAAAGCCGAAGTGCTAATTGTATGCTTTTTTGGAGAAAACATGGAGTTGGTCCAATGGAGAGAGTCGAGTGTTGGTCCTTACCTTGTTGTACTGAATCTTGTTGATGTCCAGGTCTGATTGAGGAATCCCAGGGAATCTGTGCTTGAGTATGAGCAAGATGGTTTCTGCTCTCTCTTCAAATTGCTCTCTCTTCTCCATGCTGACTGCTGAACCCCATGCAGATTTGCCATCTTTGTTGTGCATCTTCCTCTTCCAAATGATAACAGATGCTTCAATTCGGTTTTTGAGGTCTAGGATTTTGTGCTCTGTTGATAAGTCTACAGATGAGAGGAACTCTTCAGGGTCGAAATCATCGTCGGTTATATTCCGATAAAGTGAGTCTCCGAGACTTGCCCTTCCATTCTGTTACATGAGAAAACATTACTGCTACATGTATACTGACCTCCTGGAGTCGATGTCATTTGAAGGGGAAAAATAAATCAATTCCTAGAACAAATTGGTGCTACTAACCTTCATTCTTCTTTGCTAGTTTCAGTATCCTTCAGATATTATTTATGACACAATTGAAAGGAACTAAAACTATTGAACTAAACATATTGCTCAAGTGCCAATTTGCTTTCTCTAGATGTATAAATTCAGAACAAAAATTTAGAATGAAGCACTTGAAATTGACATGGAAGTACGGATGAGACTGAAGACCACAGTGCAAAATTATTTTTCTATGTGCATAAACATATCACACGTCACCCTGCTATAACCCCGTCTAAAATGATCACCTTCAGCTGAAGCAAAAACTGGGAACCATTTCAAAGCCAAAAGTTTGTTACATTAGTTTGGAATGGCAATTTTATTTTATCATAATAGAATAAAAGGAATTAATCTGAGTTGAAACAGTTGGCCAAAAAATCCCTTCTGAAAGCCTACCTTAGGGAGGGATTCAATGTAGGATTCTGGAATCTCCATCTCCGTAAGAACATTAGCGTTTATAGCCATTGCTGCTTTGAGCACTTGGTTCACAAGCTCCTTTTGATACTGAAGCCATTTCCTTGATACGTCAGACAAGCCATCGGGAGGGACTCTGACGGTCGGAAGCCACCACTTATCATCTGTCCTCCGAGCATTCCCCTTCTCGGACTCATCAGCATCTCTGGACACATACCAGAACTCATTTTGGTCTTTGAAGTTGTCTAGGTATTCCTGTTTCAGACAAGGATAAAGAGTCAAATTAGCTGAAAATTTTTTGCGGTCTACTGCTGAGCATTTCAGTTTGCACAGGTTCGCTTACGATGAGCATTGCATCGAGCTTCCGCAAGGCAGGGATATTCATGAGAAGGTCTTTGCGTTGCTGAGTTACCATAATCTGCTCACGACACAAATAAGAACGTTGTAATTTACAGTGAGATTTTCATCTTGTTGTTATCTACGTAAATTGATATGGTGTGTTTATTACTGACTACATGATCTGCTGTTCTTATTGCAGATAAAACAGTACAACAACAACAACAACAAGAAAGAGAGGTGTTTTGAGTGACCTCCATGCTGGTTCCATCTTTGGATATCTGTTGGGAAGGAACAAACTGAACAATATGATCCGTGACTGATAAAAGCCAGTTTATTTCTCTTCTCCATCTCGCCTTCCTTTCTGCAGACATGGGCTCCAGACGCCATTGTTCTCCAAACACAGAAGCTGGTTCGGTCACAACAACAGACAGGTGAAGATGTTAGATAATCTTCAATAAAAAGATTATTGAATAAGGTTTTTGCATATCTATCCTTTCAAATTTTGGAAATAGCATATATATATATATATATATATATATATATATATATATATATATATATATATATATATATATTGATGAACTTAAAAATATGAAACATTAAAATACATTTAAAAAAATTAATATTTTCATCAACAACTTGAATGTAAAAGTGCAAAATAAACAAAAATACTAATTTGTAGGGATATATGTAATATTTTGAACGGTATCAATGTCATTTGGATTTTCAAGATGATTATGATGATGGATAGATTTGCTCATGCAGACGAGAGATACTTTAGGAGAAAAACATGGTGATCATTGCGCTGATGCAGCAGGTATGATCTCTTATATTCCTATTTGGTTATGGATGTGGACTAGCAGAAAGAAACCTGCAAGATTGGTGATGGCATTGGAGAGAGCGAGGGCTGAGGAAACCCCTATTCCTCCACCTGACATGTCCTCCCCCAGAAGCAGCTTTGCAAACCTCTCCTTCATCAACTCCAAATCTGACAAAAGGCACCACAAAGATTGTGATCTTATGATATCGAAAGTTGGTTCTTTTCAGGTATTTCTTCGAACACATTCATTATGTCTCCCACACTCGATTCAATTCATGCAGTAACGCTACTGTCGTACCTGAAGGTTGCTCCTTGACACCTGCATCCTTGCTGAACCGCGACTTGGGTGCTTGCTCCGGAGGTTGGCAGGGCGCGCTCGATCCCTGGCTCCTAAAAAGCATCTTGTCGTCGTCGAGTGACCCGCTCTCGAAGGTTTGGCTCTCCTCTCTGCTCCCTGAGCTCTCGGACATCCCCCTGCCGCGCACCAACCGGTCAAGGCTGCAGCCTCTTTTCAGAAACCGTACCATCAAGGGCTCGTCCCCGAACACGGCTCAACGCATGGAGAAGGCGACGAGGTCACCGAAAGCGACATGGGCTCCTGCACCAGCGACGGCGGCCACTTCCTGATCTCCACTTCTAGGAGATGAAGCCCACACCTCCACGAGCGCAGCGAGTAGATGGAGAGAGAGCAGAGAGAGAGAGAGAGGAGGAGGTGGCGAGCGTGGCGTCCTGCGGGCAGTTGTGGGAGAAGAGAAGATGAACCGCGAACGAGGAGAGAAGGCTTGATTTGTCTCCTCGTGGTTCTTCTCCTCCTTGGCGTGGGGTGGGATTAGGACGTGGGGTGCATGTTTGAGGGTGGGGGAAGAGAAAGAAAAAGAGGGGGAGCTGATGGAGGGAGGAGAATACACAACAGAATTGTAGGCTGGTTTTGGAGGGTGTAAAGCTGGCTAAAAGCCCGGGAAATGTGGATAGCCTTTTGGGTTGTTCCATTTGTGCTCAATAAGATTATTGATTAAATAGAAGAAAAAAAATTATTGATTAAAAATATTCTATGTTTTTTCATTAAAATAGAGAGAGAGAAAGAATATATATATATATATATATATATATATATATATATATTTAAGAGTATTATGGGAGATCACATTGTCATTGTTGGTGTACCACTTAGATGGAAGACGAATTAGGATTGGTTTGATGAGTAATCCTACAATAACTCTAAAAAAAAATATTAATTTTATGATTCAAACTTTGACCAAGACATTTTATAGTAATTATTTATTGAAAAACTCATACACAATAATGGACATACATAAGTAAATCTTATGTCGTTCTAAAGCGAATGATCTGGATCGATCGAGCATCAAGTCTTCATTCGCTATGTTAATTATCTTCAAAATTCATAGCATGTCGTTTCAAACCTTCAACTCAGGATAAGATATACATCCATCATCAAATTAATATTTTATGCATAAAATTACATAATCATGTTTTGATTTCTCAGCTTAAGATAAATGATACTCTTATGGCTAATTTTACACTTTCCAAATTTTCGGATTAAAAAAATTCAAATATTAAGGAACCAAACTAACAAATTGCTTGCTTGACTTGGTAAACAATAAAGACATGATTGGCACTAAATCTGGCCGGACTTGGGACACGGTGACCCTTCTTAGGTATGTGCAGCTGTATATTAGATAGCATGAGCCAAAATTAGAATAAAAGGAGACCTTTGGTTGGTTAGGTCATGAAGGAGATAACACAAGCATTTATTCTTTGGATTCTTGGGAAACAACTCACTTGTCAAACCCATAAAATTAGTTAGTTATTCCCTTCATTTATATTATTGTTCATGTAACTAAAGAACAAAAAAGATAGAAATTTGTATTTCGAAGAAGTAAATTGGAAAAATTGACTCAATGCTAATATATTTTTTCTTTCATCACTCTATATGGTTCGATAGTAAAATGTGGATTTTATTGGACTTGGTGGTACCATCACAAGGATTTGATTACCAATTCTCCTATGCAAGTATTATTTTAAGTGTTATATTATAATCTTTTTTTTTTGTGTGTGCAAGTTGTGCAATATCGATATCGATGTTTATAAGGATTGTTCCGTGCTTTTAGCCTAATGCAGGTTGGTAAGATTTGCACAAAAAGAATAAAGATAATAATGATAATAATAAAAAACATGTTATTGAGGTTATAAATAGATTTATTTTTGAGTTGTATCGTAAGGGTGTTTCTAGATTTAGACAAGCTCAACTCTTGGTCCTCTCTACATACACATGACCTAACGTATTCTAGTAGCTTTAATGTTTCGTCATGTATATGGAGTTGATAAATATTTAAAAAAAAATTAAGATTTATTCATATAAATAGTCTAAAATAGATAAGGTGATCAATAAAGGAAGGAGACGGGGAAGCGATGAGACCCTTCTTTTTATGTGTTCAACTATAATCCAAAACATAAAACGGGTCGAAGGTTTCGGAGGTCGAGGACATGGCGTGGCACTGCATCTCCGGTGGCATGCATGTTCATGACTGCATCATCATCGTTCCCTATAATAAGTTGCCATGAACAGAGCGTTACACTTCGTGATTATAGCTTTAGGTTCTTCCGATGATCTCCTCCGAAAAGGTTTTGTTCTCCACTTTGTTACTGTACCAGGTAAGCTCGTGAGGTTGATGATGAAACTATCATCACTATATGTTAGATAAAGATATTTAATCTCATATTAATTAAATAAAAAATTTAGATCGATAAGCGAACCATTTTTACCCATCATTATTATTCAACAAATGATAGATTTCATATTTTTTTTAAAAAAAATCTCATATAAAAAATAAATCAATAAAAAGATCATCATTCACAAATATACTATGCTACATGAAAAATGAATATTTTATACTATCAATTTGAACTGAAATATTTTATATTAAATTAATGTTTAGACTTAATAGGTTAATAGAAGAGATATGATCATAATATGATAAATGGAGACCGCGAAATAATAAGCATAATAGACTAAATTTAGAGACCTAACTAATCAAAGATAAGTATGGAAATTACTAACAGATTTAAATCTATTTTATGACAAATAGAATTAAGATGGAGTGAAAGAAAGAAAACTAAATTTACTCCATATATGAACTATTTATTATCTATATAAATAAATATAAATTGGCTGTAGTGGGCCACCACCGGGCAATGGACGTTCCAGTGCAGGAGAGGAAGGAAGGCGGCCACCACCACATCTACGCGTCCTCTTCTCGACGCGTCCATTACCTCCCTCTCTAATGGTTACTCGTTGAATCGATGCCCTAGGAAACGCCTCTCCCTCTCTCTCCGTCTCTCGGCCCGACGCAAGGGGGAAGACGGTCGTCCGGGAGGCATGGCGCTAGGAAAGGCGTTACTGTCGAGGGTCCCGTCGTCCTCCGCTGGGTGGCAGCGCCGGGACAACGAGGCCGGCGGCGTGGGTGGACGGGCGGAGGATGAGGAGGATATCGAGGAGGGAGGAAGGGATGGGGCCTCGACGGCGGCAGCCTCGGGACAGGAGGAGGAGCAGGAGAGGTGGGCGTCGATCCTGCCGGAGCTGCTCCGGGAGATCGTGCGGCGGGTGGAGGCCGGCGGGGAGCGGTGGCCGATGCGGAAGGACGTGGTGTCCTGCGCCTGCGTCTGCCGTAGCTGGAGGGAGGTGACGAAAGGAGTCGTCCGGCCCCCGCTCGAGACCGGCAAGATCACCTTCCCTTCGTCCCTCAAACAGGTCGTAATGCACCGGAGATTGCGTTCTCACTACCCAACCGAGAATAATTCTCGTAGAGGTTTCAAAATTTTGAATTTTTTTGTTGTTTGCATGTCACTGAGGGCAGAATCAATTTGGAATTTTGGAAATCCTTTTTCCTCTCTTTGGTCTTTGTTCTCTTCGGTTGTTTACATTCTCTTTTGCTTTTCTAACATCTCTTTATAGAAGATCCACGGTTGATTGATTGTATATGTCGTGCTAAATACAGCCAGGTCCAGCGGATACTCCGATTCAGTGCTTCATCAAAAGGAACAAGATGAGCTCCACATTCTATCTGTATCTTAGCTTGACACAAAGTGAGTAATCTGATAACTCTCCAAAAATATATTCTTGTTAGTAATCTTTTGCTTATATTTCATCTGTATTACCCAGTTTCTTTATTGTGTAATATGACACAAATGCGCTGTGAACTGGGGCAAAAGGCGCAAGGGAACATGGAAAGCGATCATCAATCTATCTGTTAGTATATGTACAGATACTTGGTTTACACTGAAACAATTGAAGTATAAACAATACCAATGAAGTATAAACACTGAAACAATTATAACTTGAAATATATAGCTGTGAAAATTATACCAATGTAAGTACACGCCAAACAAGCATTGATATCTAGAAAAACAGTCTAAGGTAACAAAGAAGACCGATGTTTACAAATTTCTTCCTTTTGCAAATTGCCTCTCTAAAGTTGAAGGCTGGCTTTGATTACATTCAATAGTAGAGACTTTAGACCAAAGAATTAGAACCACAATTGGCAGAATGCTTCTTTGCGAGAGCAGGTTATTGTGGCAAAAAATCTTATAGACAAAACAGAGAATAATGGGAAGTCACTATCAGAGCACATCGTAAATATTGAAAGACTAGGCTCCTTTCTCCCCCTTCTGTCTCTTATTTTTCTTTTTCCCTCTTTGGTCATAGTTTTCAGAATCAGGTGACTTATCCATTGAGCTTAATTGGTTGGTGGCATACATGATAAAGAGTAGAAGAGGAGAATTTATTTTACTTATCATGCTTGCATCATTTTGGGATTGCATGATTCTTCTGGCTACAGTGTGTATTTCATCTAACATGAAACTGAACCACCTTGTTTACCCACACTTGTCGTATGTTGTTTGCATTACCACAAAAGATGCTGCTGTTAGTTCTGTCGTTTCTGCCTGAGCTTTTCTTTCATGTCGCTCACACTTTTGTGTTTTTCTTCTCTTTTATACTTTATCTGATTTGGTGAATTTGATGCAAATGTGACCTACATAAGTCTCTTGCACCATCGCTTTGATACATGATATTTATCTCTGAACCATCTCAATGTCAATGTGTGGATAATCGTAAATTGAATTTTAATAATCTTTATATCTGTTTGTTCCATGATCATCTCTAATCTATATCCAACATGGGTCTGCTTGGTTTCATTGATGTAGCATTTATGGATAAGGGAAAGTTCCTTCTCGCAGCTCGTCGGTTTAGGCGTGGTGCTCGCATCGGGTACATCATCTCTCTTAATGCTGATGACCTGTCTCAAGGAAGTAATGCATACATGGGAAAGTTGAGGTTAGTCTTTCTATTCTGCTTCCCTTTGTGCTTCTGCAGTCCACAATTTTACCAAGGTTTTCAATACCAATATTGGTATCGGTACAAAAATTAACGGTTCGTACATACAGGTTGATATGTTTAATACTGAAATTTGCTTAATATTTCTGTGGATTGGTAAGGTCAGTTCACCGGTGTATCTGTGCATGAACAGAGAGTATGGTGGAGTACATTTGTTATACTGCAACCACTATCAGCACTTATATATTTTTCCAGAGTCTATTATTTCTTTTTATGCATTTTGCGGAATCTCAAATGGATTTAAGCCTTCTGACATTATATTGTGCATTGAAATTACGTATCATATTAGGGAACCATCATATTTCACCGTGGACTATGCATTTAGCAATAAGTGCATGTGCAACTTTCGAAGACTTCAAACCGATTGGATTCTTGGTAGGATAATACAGAATCTAGCTTCTATTTTGCATTCAACCATCACATATATGATGCAAGTTGATGAGGAACGATGCCATGTGTGAATGTAAAAGAAGCAAGCTTCTCTCCGTTCTATGATATGATAGGATCTAGGACCACTCTAAAATATTCCATATCCCATAGCTTTTCTTCTTACTGAAACGAAGAATTGTGCTGGTCTTAGATGAAGTTTTGCACCATATTTGTTTTTCTCCCAAAACCACTGCTTTCACAGACTTTCCAATGCATGGTTTTCATAAATCTGAATGTTGCCCAACTTGCAGATCTGACTTCTTGGGTACTAATTTTACAATCTACGACAGTCGGCCACCATACGATGGAGCTAAGGCATCAAGCAGCAGAGCAAGCCGGCGATTTGCAAGCAAGCAAATTAGCCCGCAGGTCTCTGCTGGTAATTTTGAGATTGGACGGCTCTCTTACAAATTCAACCTTCTCAAATCTAGAGGTCCAAGAAGGATGTGCTGCAGTCTACATCACCCCGTGGTGGTACAAGACAGTTCAGAGGAAGATCTGCTGAAGTCGAAGGCACATGGCCCTGGAATGTCTTTAGTCCTCCAGAACAAGGCTCCTCGGTGGCACGAGCACCTGCAGTGCTGGTGCTTGAATTTTCATGGTCGGGTGACAGTGGCCTCGGTGAAGAACTTTCAGCTAGTGGCGACTGCAGATTCCAACCGACCTGGAGGAATCGGGGATGAGGAGGTGGTGCTGCTGCAGTTTGGTAAGGTCGGTGATGACATGTTCACCATGGATTACCGCCAGCCGCTCTCGGCGTTCCAGGCATTTGCTATCTGCCTCACCAGCTTTGGCACAAAGTTTGCCTGTGAATAGCAGCCTTCCTACATTATCCTGCAATGTATTGTCTTGTAGTTGCAGGGACAATATATTTTGTTTATTCGTCTCTCTGGATTGAGGAGATGCTGCTTGTATCAATATTTTCATCCAGGGAGTAGCCTTTCTCAGCTGCCTCCTTTCTTTGACTTCTCCGAGAAAAAGACTGTATGTGGCTTTTTAACAAATGCATTAATGATCAGATCTTGGAACATATAGCTCTTTAAGCTCATATTCCAGAGGAGTTATTTCTTCTTGTGTTCAGTGCAAAACATTACAACCATAGATGGTGACATAATGAAGTCTGTAATCCCAGTGATGAAAAGGAGAATGGCACAACTGTGATGACATAACGAGGCAAAAATAACACAGGCATTTTTACAGTCAGTGCATACGGCCATTGACAACATAAGAACAGCACAGCATCACATTTTTCTCTTATATATATATATATATAAGAGAAAAACTGCTTGCAAGTTGTGGCAGTTCATCCGACGAGTTCGTTGGCGATCTCGTACTTCCTTCTCACATAAATGTGGGGCCGGCGCCGTTCTGACGACCCATATGTGGTGGAGAACACCGGTCCGAGACCTCGGGATCCCTCGCGTTGGGAAATGGGCGGGCGCGGAGGCCTGCCAGGGGAACCCCTAGACAAATACCGCCGCGAATCTATTGGAACAGAATCCGGACGACGTGGGGAGGCAACGACAAAGCATCAGATTCGGAGGCGCCACAGGTGGCGTGTGCCTACGTGGCGGTCGAAGAAAGGCGTGGGCTTCCATTCGAGTGCTGCGTGTCGCTTGATGATTCACTCACTGAAGACAGTATCATCACCACGCATGGTTTGCACCTATATGTTTACGCTGGTGCAATTTTTAGGCACAATATGTATAGTTTGGCCGTACTTTTGTCGATAAAGAAGCACAAACCAAAGTCAATAAAAAAAATCAAATAAACCTTCATGTCAGACATTACTGTAAATTGTCATCAGATGGTTTGTCGACCTAATCTCAACGATATAAAGCTCTGACGAAAATTAAAGTGATAAACCATAAATCTATACATAGAAATCTGATTCTCCTAGTAATAATTTAATCTCCTAAGGCTCTCTACCACACTGCCGTTGTGACACACCGTCACTTATTAGATCATTCAAATTATCTTTATCTAATCTAAATTAATTGTTTTAAAGACTCTTGAGACATTAAGACCTCTGAATTAGAATGTGTTATATGTAGATTGACATCTTACGGGTTGTCGACACTCATGACCTATATTTCAACGTTATAAAGATGTCAGTTCAATAATACTTAGTTGATATTTTGACTCATGGATATCAAGTCTCGGTGAACAAAATATAAAGTAAACCCATGATTCTTGAATTTAGTATACTTGTCACCCATAATCATATTAACCATAAATCTGTAACTACAAATCCGATTCTTCTAGTCATAATTTAATCCCCTAAAACTCTCTACCACACTACCCTAGATACGCTTGTCGTCGACACATCATCACTTATCACATTAGATCATTCCAAATTACTCTTTTATACAATTTAAGGACTCGTAATTCACTTATATCTCTAAATCCTTTATTGACTTAAACATCATATGAGTTTTATTATACATGCTCCTGATGTAATTTTGTAGAACCCATATGTTATGAAAAAATATCATTGACGTCTTGCTTAGCTCGACGTGGTTTAAACTCGTGTTCGCAATAATATCCAAGATATTTTCGAGATAGAAATATCGTGCTTCCGAGGTATCACCTATATGAAAACCAAGGTCGGAAGGAGTTTCTTGATCTTATCCCTCTGACACTTAAGTTAGTAATCTAAAGTTCTCAAATGTTGGTTCAAATGACATAAAAGGAGTTGCTTGCATAAGATTTAAGATATATTTTTATACCTTGGATATTGAGACAAGAGTTTATGATTGTCTTTCTCGTCGTAATGGATGAGAAGAAAGTGTATTGTTTATCATAAAAGATGAGAGAGATGTTGTGATTGTCTTTCTTATCATAATTAATTAGTAGAAAGTGATCATAATAGACGAGAAGGAAGATTGTGTTTGTTTGTTTTGAATCTTCGTCCAATATACAAATAAATGGATGAAGGATAACCTATGATTGCATTGTCATAATAGATGAGAAAGAGGATTGTATTTGTTTGTTTTGAATCTTCGTCTCATCAGTAGCTAATAATAGATTCTGTTTCATCATACAAGTAGATTCGATACTCCACCCAATTCTTCCAATAACATTCTTGAAAAGAAAAAAAGGGATTATGATTATATCTGAATTATCTTTGAGATCAAACAATAAAAATCAACAAATCTTTTATGCAACTACGTATGATATTTGCATGACTAAGTGATTGATGACTGTACGCGGGCATGTCCCAACCAGCTATCAAAGGAGATATGATCTGACGTGAAGGTCTCTGTGAAGCAAGTAACAGAGCATATCCGAAGAATATTTGGTGGGTGCTCACTCCATCATCGAAGTCGTATATTCTCAGCCAACTTGGAGCGAAACGGATCAGCTTCCTCCATTCGCACAATCCAAGCATCTATTGATTCCTTCTGTTTAGACCAATGCATATTGTCAACCAAAGATAGTTTGATTGGATCCACCTTTTTTCCTTCTCACCATCCTAATCATAGTTATAAATTTTGAATCTTACCCAAAGAACGAGAAATTGGATTATTATTTCTAAAATACTAAAATATGCATATTTTTATTTATCCTCAAAATATTTGATTTTTCATAGCACCTAAGTCTTTTTATTGTAATAATTAAATACAAGGATATCCTATTATATTCATTTCTATTTAGTCCATCATTTTTATTCTTACCCTTATCATCTTATTTCCCTATATAATAAAAATTATTTTATAATAATATTTGTATCTATATTTATATTTTATACTATTTTTTTAAAATCATATCTATGATTTAATCGTAGATATGAGTAAATCAGAATATTACCGATAACTAAGTTAATCAGCGTCTTAACTAAATATATATATATATATGTTTTGACATTATGATATAATAAAAAATATATAAATTTCAATATGTTACATATTAATTTTATAATATAAATATTTTTTAATATTAATTAAAATATTATTTTAGATATAACAGGAAGACATTTTATTTTATATAATATGTTGTTGATTGGGGTCGTTATGTAATACTTACAGAAGCGGTTGGTGATGCAGTTGAGGGATGGAGAGTGGAAACGGTACGGGGAATCTGAAGCGGAAGCGGAAGCGGAAGAAGCTTCGTATCCTTCCCTTCTATGGACTCCGATTCCCCCAAATCACCGAACCGATTCGTATTCGCTTGCCTCTCCCTTAAATTCCACCCCCGCTTCCCGCCCTCCACATCGAAAGCTCCGCCCCCTCTCTCGAACTCTCCTCTCCTCCGATCTCTCCCGATGGGTGCCGACCGGATCTCGGCTGTGATTCTGGATTTGGATGGAACTCTTCTGGACACGGGTCAGCAATTCTTTCCACCTCCGGTTTCTCGGATTCTTAATTTATTTGGGTTGCTTCGAGTATGTTGATGTCGACTTTGGCCTTCCTCCTTGTTTTCTGGGAAACGGATCAGAGAGGGCAACCGGCGGAATCTTAGAGGAGTTCCTGGCGAGGCATGGGAAAGCGTTGGACGCCGCGATGGAGGAGAAGCGGCTGGGGAAGATGCACAAGGAGTCGGCGGCTGCCATCGTCCAGGACTACGGGCTGCCGATGACACCCGAGGAGTTCTCCGAGGCGATCATGCCTTTGTTTCAGGAAAGGTGAAATCCTTTTTGGCAGCCGATTAAGGTTGATGCATTCATCAATTTGTTATGTTGGGGAATCTTGCTCTGATTTGGATTTTGGTAGCATTGCATTATAGCACCCGAACATCATTTGCTAGTAGCCACATTAGCTTTGGCTGGACTGCTGAATCCTATTGCATTGGGATTCTTTTTCTATTAAATTCCAGCTTCATATGTGTGAAATTTCTTTGAACAAGCGAGGGGACTTGTAATTGGCGTGACTTAGACAACAAGAAGAAAAAAAGCGGTATATTATTCTAAAGCCATCTCAGGACAAAGATTTTCGATTGGACTGAGAAGGTACAGGATGATCACATCGTACGGACTAATCACTGATAAAATTGGTGATCGTTTGTTTTCATTATGTCTCGTAGCCCTATAAATGTCATGACCCATGTTCAGAACTGTGGACCACGCCCTCCAAAAAAAACCATGAGGTTGCGTTGTTGGAGTGGGACTGTGACTTACATGCTATTTCATGTTATAGTCCACATCTGATGTACTTCCATCTTGGCGTGTCATGCTGAATTCCTCATGTATCTTTCTTTTTGAATTCTTGTTTCCCTTTACCTTTTCTCCATTGTTTCTTTTTTCTGCATTAATCTTATTTTTCAGAGGTTGTTACCGAAAGTATTGACAGAAGATACTGATCTTTTTATGACAACAAGATTCCAAGAATACTATATATATATATATATATATATATATATATATATATATATATATATATATAGTAATTAGTATGAATGAAGAATTGGAATTTTCTCGTCTTTTTTTCATCTCCTTTAGCAAAAGTGATCAGCTATAATTTCTGCAAGCTTCATCAATTAGAATAATGCTTGTAACTTTTTCAACTTGGTCGACTGTAGAGCATCATATTTATATTATTCTAGTGTTCACATTATTTCTTCTATTTACTGGTTTAAAGTGACACCAATTCAGTTAAAGTAGTATCAACAACTAAATTAAAATTAGGGTGCACTTGTGCTTCAGCAGTCCCTTCTGTTGCCTTCATCCAATTATTCACAATTTCAAGAGTTATAGCTTTAAACTTTTCTTCATGTGTGTATGTTGAAATCATCCCACCTTTTAGTATATTTGGTTTTGCATCATGGGTTTAGAGCAGGTCTGCATCCATAAAAATGAAAGTCAATGAAACTTTTTAAAATTGTCTTTATAATTATCTGCAACATGATTAAGCCATGTTCTCTTAAACTGCACGACGACTTGACAGATTATGTTAATGTATTCTGATTTATTAAATCGTATTAAGCTATGCTAAAGTTTGACTTGGAGAACATTTTGAGAAAGCTTTGAATGGAACATGAATGCTAGTTTAAGAGATACATATGTCATTTTTAATAGTGCCAAAGTTAATAAATATTATTATGCTTTGATTTTTGCAGGTGGCCACAAGCAAAAGCACTTCCTGGTGTTAATCGCCTTATCAAACATCTCCACAACCATGGGATTCCATTGGCACTTGCTTCAAACTCCATAAGGGAACATATTGGGATAAAAATTTCCTACCAACAAGGTTGTCACCTTATTTCTGTATTTAACATTAAATTTTTCTCTCACTGTCCTGTTTTTAATAATTCTTTAAATGCTTGCTTAGTTTAGAATTTCTCTAAACCCAACATATTACAATGTAATCTTTGTCCAATATTGATATCCATGCCTAACTGGTACACCCGTAGATTTGGTTTACTTGTAAGGCTTACTATCTTTTGACACAAGCAACATGTTTATCACCATTTCTTTCAGCAAAGATGCATCTCATCACCATTGTCTTTCATTATTCGGTCCATGCCTAGAATGGTTTCCTCTGTATTTGGTTTTGGCGTTCAACCTTTTTCATCATTGTGTTCTTTCTTTGCAATATGGACCTGAGTGTCATACTCATACCAAGGTCACTCCTTTATAATTAAGGTGATCAAAATTTGAGCCACGGAAATAATTTTCTTGGTTGCAGGGGTGAGACTGTGTTAACTGAGTCTCCACGAAACCCCACATTGGGTCTATACTTCATTAGTGACTATATTTCATCTTTATCATAACTCTGGTTAAGGAGATCAACATGCAAACTTCATCAATGACCGTTCACTTGGTTCCCCTGGTGTTTGGTGGAGGCTTTCTTATTATTCACACCATAACCCAAGTTTTTATATAACATTAGATATATAATATTTCCTCTTTCAGGGAAGTAGTAGTTACCTTTGGATTCTTCATATGAGAGCCTTGATAATCTATTCAGAGCAATCTTGTGTGTTGGTGGTTAGTCCATTTACCATTCATCTGAGCTAAATGAGAAATTTACTATGGCAGAAATTCACCTGAGCCAAATTTGATACCGTTTACAAATATGAAACTTGTGTGTGGCCTACAATGTATTTTATTAACTCAAAATTTATAGTTAAGCAGTTCTCAATCAAAACCTTCTAATAATTTTGCAATAGTGATTTGTTAATCTTGTTATGGGATATGATCAAGTTAGTTTTAGGTTTTCTCCTGATATTTAATATTGCATTGCGTTTTTCTGTGTAGGTTGGAAGGAATCATTTTCTGTCATTCTTGGTGGGGATGATGTTAGTCATGGAAAACCTTCTCCCGACATGTGAGCCATTTCCTTCGAATCATGGATCAAATTGTTTCTTACAGTCTCATTCTGTGTAAACACTTGTTTAACTTGTATCTGTTATTCAGATTCCTAGAGGCAGCAAAGAGACTTGGAGTAGACATATCAAAATGTCTAGTCATTGAAGATTCCCTGTAAGTAGAAATACATTATCATGCGTTAAATATTGCAAAATTACATTCTGTTTCACTCCATTAATTGATATTATTTTAAGTTTCAAATTCCTGAGGTCTCATACAGTTGTACATGATGGGCAACTGAAAAGTTCAGTTTGCCAGTTATTTCTCAATGACATAATAACATAAATGATGAGCTGTTCAAATCGAACTAGTTTCCTAAATATTTAAGTGATAATTACTTTACAAATATCATAGTCCAACTCTCAAGACTAGGGATGCTATTCTTCGAATGTGGGTATGGTTTTTATGGAAGGAATTTTTGGATATTCTAAAATCAATATAAGATCTTTGATGAAAGCCTAAAGGACTTGCACTACTCTTGGAGATCCTGGATAAACTGTATTCTTAGATATCCAGGCCTATGGTACAGAAGGCTCATTCCTTGACGATTTGTTGGATGATTTAAAATTGAAATGTAATCTTGACAACTTTTTCTCACTGCAATGGGCTCTTTCCTACCATAAGTTGCTTTTTCCTACTCTTTTCTTGCCTTTTGCCTTCTTTTGGTTTCTTTATACAAACCTCTGAGGAACTGATGGAGGTCCTGCATCTCCATTTATGAAATAAACAAGCTGCAACTATTTGCACAATCTTTAATTTCAAGTAAGCAAATTGTGTTGCTTCATTGCAGGGTTGGTGTGAGAGGTGCAAAGGATGCTGGAGCAGAGGTTGTTGCCGTTCCATCTCTCCAAGGACAGGATGAAAATTATTCCATTGCAAATTGTTTGCTTCATACACTATTAGAGTTTCAGCCTGAGTTATGGGGCCTCCCAGCATTTGAAGATGGTACTTTCTCTTACCTACTCAGTAGATTCATCTTCTTAGTTCAATAGAAGCTGAAATTTTATTTTTAAATTTATTTTATTTTTTAATAATTCAGGGTTGCAAAGTGCATTGCCAATTGAACCATTATTTATTGGAGGCCTGGGTGGAGAGGTAGTTTCTTATGATGGCTTCTCAAAAATTGATATCACTGCAGGCAAGGAAAATTGGTATTTTGCTTGTAATGTGAACAATAAATAGAGCCTGTTTCTGCACTAGTGCATTGATGTCATTTACATGCCGAATTCTAGATTCTATATATGTGTGCAGCTGACACCTCATTCTGTTTATTATCAGATACTGGCTCGTATGAATTTATTCCTCATCAAGTATGGGGTGTCTTCATTGGTTGGGCAAACATTGAAATGCATGGAATATATAAGGTGGTCATTTGCATTGGATGGGATACCTCTTCCGGTGCTGCAAAGAGAGTAATTGTGAGTCTTTATGGTTGATTCAGTGATAGCTAATTATCTTTTAATTATTTTAATCATGATTCCTTAAAGAAGAAAAATGACTTGTTTGGTGACATGCTTGATTAGTTTTATCCACATCTCTGGCACTGTTTAAAAAGCTGGTGATTATGATCACAGACTTCTTTTTTGCAAATAAATAGCCAATTTCATTCTTTTTTTGTTTTACTCTGTTAGGCATAGCTACTTTTGAGGGATTCAAAAGCCTTTCACTAGAATTTTCTCCTGAACCCTCTGTGTTTCTGGTTTAGTTTATTCATACAACTCTACTTGTATGCCATTCTCTGTTTAAATTATCACTCTAATGCTTTTTTTAGTAGATGCATTATGAGAAATCTTCGTTAGTACTTTGTATTATGCTATAGTATGACTGCCGACTTCATATATATCGAATCTGCAATCTGTGATGTTTTACAAGTTGGTCAATAATATTACCATCCTATATTATATGACTATCGTACTTGGCATCCAACTTTTAGCTTCAAATGTACTCATGATGCATCTGCTTTCTCTATTTTTAGATTTAAGTTCAAATGTTTCTGTTTCAAGACAAGATAATTGATATGAAATACTCTTTTTTGTGCAGCTACCATACTTAATCGACCATACTGAAAGCCACAAGAATGAGCGATTGCAGCTATTCATCGTTGGATATGTCAGGAAATTACAAAATGAGGTACTTAACTTTTTTTTTGAATATCTACCACAGCAAAAGAAAAAGAAAGAAAAAACAAAACCGAAGATTTCCCAAGAAGAATATAGCTTGGCCTCTATAGTTGGCGGTCCCACGTTAAATTGCATATAAGAGCGGGAGGAAGCTTCACATAATTTACATTTTCTATGCTTTCAATAACATGAAATGAGTACTCTATACATATCCATTTCAGCTCTATCCTTCAAGGTTAAGTTCCATATTCAGTATGATTGACCTGTTTAGCACTTGACAACAGACCTTAGGCGCACTCGTTTTCCTGACTACTGAGCAAGAATTTTATGCTAGTAAGACCAGAGTATCGTAGCAGGCCATTTGTTAGTGCTTCACGTTGATCTTAATTGTTTCTCTCTAGAAAATAATCCTTGCATCTTTGTCGAGTATTTTGCCACATATATATTCCAATGCAATCTTGTTCTTCAGGGTACTATGTCGGAGGCTCTTCGGGTATTCGAAGAAGATGTCAACATTGCACGGGCTGCATTGGATATCCCAGTGTTCTCCCTTCCCACAAGTAGCTCCCTCTTTGTGGAAGCAGCCTTTGATTAGGAAATGTGTCTTCAATCATAAATACACATTTATGCTGATTTGGAGGCTTTCATGTATGCTTTAATGATTTGAGTCAATTATGTCATATTTACGTATTGATGCTACCCTTAAATCATACTTTAAGTAATATTCTGGTTGAAGCAATCTTTGAAGTGTTATATTCTGGTTGTTACCGCCAAAATCCCAACCTCTTAAATCATACTTGATAGCGCAATCAACACATGAAAAACTAATTTTGGTCAACAATTTGATCACATGCACATCATCCTTAGAGCATTGAAAACCTCAATCAAATACTGTTTATTTAAAATTTTCATTTTTGAACTAATTAGAGCATTGAAAAAATCATGTTGGGAATCCTAGATCTTCATGTGGACGCATTAATCTCTTGTTCACTTTCTACATGTGAATCCAAATCGAGTTAGATAGATTTGAATATCATCGATATTTATCACATTATTGATTATCAAAGTATATATTAATCATATTATACTTACTAATTTTTGTAGGCATTATGATCAAACTATCATCATCGTTGTTATTATTATTATTATTATTTTTATTTGTTACTTAAAAAAGATGGTGGACGACAGTGATACCGATCGTAGCCCTCTGAAGGCAGCGAAAGGCATTTACGTTCTTCCCCACCTTCCCCATCCTACCCTTAAGTTGGACTCAACTATCTCATCTCCCACTCTCACTGTTGTATTCAGATTAAAAAAGTGTTTTATATTTTACTTTTGTATATGTAATTATAACAATTTGATGGAATAAAAGCTACACAAAATTCTCATATTCTTTGTCTTGGATTAATTCTACTTTCGACGTCGGAGAATCCTCATCGAGCACGTCCTAAAAGTCACTTCAAACAATCATCTCGGACAGGTTAATCATAACAATAAGTTTTGCTTGAAAATGGCCTACACAACATCAAATTGGACACATTAGATTGACGATCAAAACTGGTCTCATCTCTCCAAGATACATTTTGATAAAT